GCCAAACATGAAACAATTTTTACATCAATTTGTGTCTGGATAAGAAATAAGTAGTGAATTTAAATACAGATGTTTCCTTGTCTGTTGCTATGTGAAACAATGTTGTTTATAGCAATAAGAGTCATTGTTGATCAATAACAATGCTCATTTGCTAAAAATATACAAGTATTGATTCCATTTCCAAACTATTATACTATGTGAATATATTGGCAATTAATCCAATTATATATAAATAACAACTTTAATTTCTGTATCAAGCCTCCTGGGTATTATTGTTTCCTAAGCATCATTGAGGGGGCACTTGTTCTAAATATATGCAATAAGTCTGGTTACCATTAAAAAATGTCCATATTCAGAGTTACCGTTGTACTATATTTTATTAAAATACTGCAGAAATGCAATATATTTCATGATTTTAAGAAATTGAATGAGAGCTGCATGGTTAAAAGAGGAGGGGGGCTTATTTATTTTTTATTTTTGTATCCAAATGAGGGGGGGGGGCTTATTTATTTTTTATTTTTGTATCCAAATGAGCGGGGGGTTATTGGAGCGGGGCTTGAAGAGAAGGGGGCTAAATATAGAAATTACAGTACCTCCATTCCTTCCTCTCCCTTCCCAAACATGCTGCAGGAGAGTGGCAACTGCAGGGGTTAAAGCCTGGATTGCAAGGTTGATGTATAATTTGCATGTTATGTACCTGGTAATATGGAGAAATGAGCTAGTAAATATATCCTTGCTTATAATTAGTTGCTGATTAAATGTTCAAAGATACACAGTGTGAAGCATGAAAAACAAATGGAAGATACCCACTGCAAGAAATTTTCAACAAATATATATATATATATATATATGGATTTGTTCACTTCATTTCTTACTTTCGACACAAGTAATTGTGGTAATTATAATTACAAACACAATGTACTGTCATTTAAAGACTTTATATGTACTCCATGTATATATGTTAATGTAATATAATATAAAAAATAATATGTTTATTGTTAAAATATGGGATATATAATACCATAAACCTCTGACTATAAGCCCTGGGCTTATATTCTTTTGTAAGTGATTTTTGATAGGCTTAGGGGGGGGGGCTTATATGCACGGGGGCCTTATACATGGTCGATCAATTGTGTTAGTAATAAACAAGTCCGTCATAAACAGGAAAATAAACATGTATTAATAACACACTAATGGTTAATGGTAACATAGTAAGCTATAAAGACAATGACAGTGTTTCAAATATCGTTCTCTGCTATATTAAAAGACAATATCAATGTTAAATAACATAGTGGGATACTGGGCTTATATTCAGGGACTTATAGTCAGGGGACTTATATTCAGGGCGGCTTATATTGGGGGGGATTATATGGTCATTTGGAATGAGGTGAGCATTATATTCAGAGGTTTACAGTGTACAGTTGTCTTGAAAAAAGCTTGTATTTTCTTGTCAGACACACACATTTCTGGGTGCATATAGAACAGCTTATACGTCAGGTTCTCATGTCGATCCAATGGTGATTTGATATCGCTGCCATCACTATAATATAGTGTATCACAGAATGCAATGCCTTGTATCATACTTTCACAAACTATCATGCATGTAGGAATGCCTTGGTCATTCATGTGGAGATACGACAATCACTATAGAATGAATTAGTTACGCCAAGTAACATGTCGTACACGACAGGTAGCAGCTGAAATATTTTAATATTTGCCATAATAAGCCCATAACCTGTTGGCAAAACAACCAAAACATCTTCACCATTTTACAATGACCGAGATACATTTGAATGTCTCGTCTTTTAACGAATATTCAAGCTCTCTTTTCCCTAGAACAGCTTTCATAGCTCTTTCAGTATTTTCCATTGAATATAATTTAATAGTAGGACCATTTGAAGCACCTTTAAACGTGTAAAAAACAATTTTGTACACTATATTCTGATGAGAATCTTTGTTTAAAACAATATCGATTGTGAGCGTGCGCCCGCGCGAATTTAGTGAGCGGAATAAACAAAAGCAATAAAAGCGCATGCGCCATTTATCTCATTTTGGATAAAAAAATTCGATTTCCCCAGAGTCATGCCACTACCTAACCCGCGAACAGGCATACTCTGGGAACGAGATTGATTTATATACGTAATAGACGTTTCATGCCATTATTGTGGGACATTGTTCGTCTATTAGCTCATACGCAAGCGCAAAGCTTCGAACTTCAACGGGATCAATAGCTGTTATCGTAATTGAATACGTCTATGCTACGGACCAGCGGTATCTGCATTATTTTAACATCGAGACGAGGCTAAAGTGTCATGTTTTGTTTTTTTACCCTTTAGCCTCGTTTTCGTGCGTAATTCCACTGAGATACCGCTGGTATTCCGCAGCGGCTTATTCAATTACGATAACAACTTCTTCATGAAAACCGCTTCAAGAAGGTTCTAGTTTGAAAATTTAGCTCTTAAATTCGATTTCATGAGCATATTTTGGTTACACGTTAAATATTTTTGTGCTTGATGAGATTCAAAATTTGTTGTATATCCAAGCCCGGCTTTTGTGTAATTTTGGTGATGACCGGAACAGAAATAAAGATATTTTAAAAACTGTCCGTGGCCTCACAATAAAACTTTCTACAAATGTTCTCTGTTTTATGTACTTTTATTTGAATATCTTAGGTATAAGCGTAAAAATAGGGGCTCATACAGTTTACGAGGTTGTAAAATGACTTGCCTCTATTTTCATGTAAACATTCGAAATATTTCGACAGCAAAGTAGCAACTGTTTCAGATCGAATGCACACGGACAGCCCACCAGAGACAATGGCAGGGTACTGAAATAGAACGTCACTAAAAAATTCTGTATGATTAATTTAGATCCTGTCCACTTTCAACATAAAACAGTCATTTATTTTGTACAAACATTTGGCAATATTTACACGATTGTGCCTTTTTGTAAACACGCGTTGCGTGTATTTCTCGCAATTGCGTGGCTCATTTTACTCGCGCATGGTCAGACAAATTTCCCACCTGTTCCTCTCAATAATACATCCGCCGTGTTTGTATCAATTTTAGCATAAATTAGCATATTTTTTTCATTTTGAACCAATCAGATTTCTCGTCCTCTGAGAGAACGAGTAAATACGGCAAAGCAGGGGGTTTGGTGCAGGCTCTACTTTCTCTGAGCCGTTACGCAGGCTACTTTAATTCATGTGTTGTTGACCTTTTGTTCTACAACGAGCCGTGGGTCTGGCATTGTTCTACAATGGGCCTCGCTTGCCAGGTTGAGTTGCCTGGCGTAGCCGGAGTGTACATCTGAGCCGGCGTCTTGTTAAAGTCCATACAGTAGTTGATGATCATGGTTGTATATATTACACAGTGAACCGGACATCCGGCATCCCGAGTTGCGATAAATTTCCATCACAATTGAAATATATTTGCGGCATGTCGCAGTTAAGTTGCGCTAAAATTGCAGTCAAATTAGTCAGGCAGATAGAGGTCGAAATATGAGTGTTTACTGCACGATCGAGGAACAATTTCTTTTTATGATAGAAATGTTCTTCTAAACCTCCTAAATACATGTCCGGATGTTGGCCGGTCGAATTTTTTTGTGGAGCCTGTCCAACAAGCTTTTCTGTCATGATCGAGTGACGTTTACAAAACGCCTTTTTGTTCATGTTTTTCGCGGGAAGAAACAAGCCCTCAGTGTTGCTGTCCAGCGGCAAAGAAAATACTTCATGTACAACAAATAAATAAATAAAACGCCAGAATCGTTTCCACAACAAGAACTGCCAAACAGGCGATATTACTTTAGAAATTAATACAAAAAGATGTAAATTTTGGAATTATTTTTAGGTCGACAAAAATATAGAAAGTCATACAGATAGAAGGAACAACACTAACCAATCGAGGGGCAGTTTAATTTTACTTGAAATTCGTTCATTTCAGTGTGCTGAACACAAATCCGGATGTTGGCCGTGGCGCCGTGCTCAATTTTCTCGAGATCTTCAGCACAGTGGTAAACGAGAAGACTGTTAACGTTCAATTAATAACCATCTCTAAACGGCAGCACAGTGGAAGGTAAGAAGACGTTTTAAATAATAACCATCTTTAAACAGCAGCACGGTGTTAAACGAGAAGACTGTTCAATTACTAACTATCTTTAAACGGCAGCACAGTGGAAGGTAAGAAGACGTTTTAATTAATAACCATCTTTAAACAGCAGCACGGTGGTAAACGAGAAGACTGTTCAATTACTAACTATCTTTAAACGGCAGCACAATACAATACAATACAACACAATACAATAAAACTTTATTTTAACACGGTAAATTCTTCAGTACATTAATTAAATATAAAAAAATAATTACAACTGATTTCCAAGATTGCCGTGTGGGAGTCATTTTACAAATTATAGTAATAATTTAAGGAATTCTTAAATAGTGGTAACGAACGAAGCATTCGTATATTTTGAGGCAGGTTATTCCACAATAAGGTTATTCCACTATAACAAAGGCTTCGTTTTAAATAGTTAGTTCGTGGCTTAGGTAAATTTAGCTTTATTTCAGAGTCTCTTAAGTTATACCCACTGCCGCGAACAGAGAAGAGATTTTGTAGGTACTGTAAGATGGTGCATCACCATTGATTATTACACTGACCTGAAAGGTCAAGTGTCTTAAATCCCTAGTTTTCTGTTTTCTGTTTTTTTCGTCGTCGAGAAATCGAGTTTGCGTTCGCGCATCGCAGGCTCAGGGTGCAACGATTAATCCAAAATGCCATCGATTCTTTGACTCCACGATTCATATATAATAGTAAGAAGCTGGTATTTATGTACGTAATAGTCGGCTCATGTCATGCTTGCGGTGCATTTTTCGTTTATTAGCCCATATATAGACCTATATGGACTTATACGCACGCGCACAATTCCGAACTCCAATGGTGACATATTCAGTCCAGTTTCAAAATGGCGCGTTTTGGCTGAGTGGTCAGAAAATATTTCACACAGTTTCGTTGAATTTTCAAAGAGTTCTGCCGGTTTTCTATGGATTTTACGTTGTGTCGCACTCTGAACTTTCTTGCGTGTTGAACTAATATGTTTTTCTTCGTGTAACGACTCGAAAACCCCAAAGTTTGGACCCAGCGAATTTTACAAAGGACAAGTTAAAGGTTCGACAGTTTGACTTTTTAACTAATAAACAACCGTCTATAAATATACGTTGTAGAGTCATAAGCATCCGTGGTGTAGTTGTGTTAATTTTTTGTCGCACTCTGGACTTTTCTGCATGTTGAATTAATGTTTTTATTTTTGTATTATACGACTCTAAAATTTGGCTTTGAAAATTTGGCCGACCGGCGGATTTATGCAATCAATATGTTGTATTAAACGACTCGAAAACCCCAAAATTTGGACCCGACGCGAATTTGTACAATATAGTGGAATATAAGCAAGTACAAGTTAAAGATTCTACAGTTTATTTTGATTTATTGTATGGTACTCATTTGTCTAATACAATAACATTTAGTTCACAAGGGCAAGTTAAAGGTTTGACCATATTAAAATAGTACATGTATTGAAATTCGCGCAATAGCTACTAGAATTCGCGCAAGTAAAGATAAAGCGAGCGTTCAAAATACCAAAAAGAACTAAGACATTTATTGTATGGTTCTCATTTGCCTAATAGAATAACATTTAGTTCAGAATATAATATAAACACAATATAAACAAGGGAAAAGTTAAAGGTTTGACAGTTTCACTACACAACGTCGACAATATACCTTAATACATGTATTAAAATTCGCGCAGTAGCTACTATTTGGCGCGCCAAACGCTTTGTGGTAGCTATACTAAAGATAAAGCGTGCCTTCAAAATACCTACAAGAACTAAGACATTTATTGTATGGTTCTCATTTGCCTAATACAATAACATTTAGCTCGACGCGAATTTTAACTATAGTATCATATTTCATAATATAATGAACAATGTAAACTAGCCAATTCTTTCACCTACAAAATGTCGACAATATACCTTAATACATGTATTAAAATTCGCGCAGTAGCTACTAGAGTTCGAGCAAGTAGTAAAGATAAAGCTTGCATTCAAAATACCGAGACATTTATTGCATGGTTCTCATTTGCCTAATACAATAACATTTAGTTCACAATATAATATAAACAAGGAATAGTCGTTCGATTTGGCTATACTGTTTGCTCGTTTTGAATGTGTATTGATCATTTCAATAATCGATTTATATATCAGTCTGCTCGATTTGTATCATTGGTGATTTGGTGTTCGACTTATAACTATTGGACCTATTGAATTTTGACAGTAAAAACGCGCCATATATAATACATGTATTAAAATTCGCGCAGTAGCTACTAGCATTGGAGCAAGTAAAGATAAAGCGGTGCGTTCAGTGAAATACCAACAAGAACTAAGATATTTATTGTATGGTTCTCATTTTCCTAATACAATAACATTTAGTTCACAAGTACTATTTACAACATGAGCGGCCGTGTTGTATCGGATATACAAACTCGAGCCGAAGGCGAGAGTTTGTATATCCGATACAACACGGACGCGAATGTTGTAAATGACTTAAAAGTTCATTGGCGAAGTAATTTCAAAAATAAACGTTGTCTAAGCCGAGAAAATCAAAGTTAAAGTTTATGTAAATCAACATGAATCTGTATCACATATACAGATACGACACGCTTATGATTTTTCTTTGTGTTTTCGTCATGAATTATTAATGAGTTTTTTAATATAATATAAACAAGGAAAAGTTAAAGGTTTGGCGTTTGACTACACAATGTCGGCATTATACCTTAATACATGTATTAAAATTCGCGCAGTACGTATAGCTAGTGCTACTAGCATTCCGGCGGACCTATTGAATTTTGACAGCAAAAACGCGCCATATAATACATGTATTAAAATTCGCGCAGTAGCTACTAGAATTGGCGCAAGTAAAGACAAAGCGTGCGTTCAGTGAAATACCAACAAGAACTAAAACGTTTATTGTATGGTTCTCATTTTCCTAATACAACTCGATCAACTCATAGCTATTATGTGCTCATTTGTTATCATGTGCTCATTAATTCTTATATCAATATTGGAACATGATCACGAAATACTGCGTAGCGCAAAATCTCCATTCTTCAAAAACGTATCGTTCAAGGCAATTGAAAGGCGAAGAAGACAATGATATATTGTATCTGACTGCTTCAATACTCAGAAATGATCCACGATCATGATTTGATAAAGTTCAATATGGTCACGTGATTTTCGGTGTGAACCTGAGATACTATCTATAAATATTATTACTAAGTATCTGACATTAAACTAAATGTGATTAAAGCACAAGAGATGTTACCTATGTCTCATTTTATATTTTTATTTTTTTTCCTATGAAGGTTTGTTACTTGTGCAAAAGCGCAACTTTAATTAGGTTTCAAACAGTTTCTGCCTTCTGCTTTTTGTTGTCGAATTATTGATTTTCTTTGGATAAATCTACCGCTGAAACTGTTCTATACGAACTCTCTTGCTTCCCATTCCTTTGTCTATTACACCATAGCCAATCTCGTTCCCCGAGCCTGCGATCCTCGGGAAGGAAACGAAGGCTCTGGGATAATCCGTTGCCGAAAGCCAGGAATTCTTGCTAAGATTGAACTGCACATTCCATATCAACGGCCAATCAGATTCCTTCCTGAAACGGATTATCCCAGAGCCTTCGTTTCCTTCCCAACGACCGCAGGCTCAGGGAACGAGATTGCACCATAGTACGCATATCATCATTTTCAGGTCAGTGTGAACGCCTGAGTAGGCGTCTTGTTTTAAACATAATTCCAGCCTTAATCTTTTTGCGTCGTAAACAAAGATTGTCTAGGTGCAGATTATTCAAAAGAGAACTAGCGCTTGTATCATAGTGCGACCTCGTAATGACTCTTACTGCTAGGTTCTGTAGTTTCTGTATTTTATTACTGAGAGTTTCTCCAAAACCGTCCCAGACCGAGCAGTAGTCAAAATGAGGTTGTATCAAGGCTTGATAAACCTGAACAGCTGTTCTCGTACTTACAAATGGTCTAATACGTTTTAATGCACCAATGGCTGAAGCAATTTTCTTAGTTATTTTCTCTATGGGTTGACCAAGAAAGGTGTTTGTCAATATGTACTCCTAAGGATTTAACAGTATCGACTTTGTTGATTTCACTATCATCAAGCTTAATGGTTATACTACCTTGAGTAGCATTGATTCTCTGTCGAGATCCAATTGTCATAAACTCTGTTTTTGCAATATTTAAACTGAGTTTATTTGTAATAAGCCAGCTTTTAAGACGTTCTAATTCAGAATTAATGTAAGGTAAGGTAAGAAGACTGTTCAAATAATATGTGATTTCTTGCACTTGATCAATGATTCTCTGTTATTCGTCGCTAGCGTTACGCCTTGGTGAGATATCACCATATTATGTTCAATTAATATGTGATTTCTTACACTGCGGAATCGCAGGGCCGTAGGTTCAATTCCTACCAGAGGACCTTGTGCTGCATTTTTCGCAGTCGTTCCTGGTCAGGTCTTAAAATGTATATAATCACTTGGATTACAAACCCTAACATTCTAATGTTCAATTAATAACCATCTTTAAACAGCAGCAATGTGGTAAACCAGATGACTTTTCAATTAATAACCATCTTTAAACAGCACCACGGTGGTAAAAAGAAGAGAGTTCAATTAATAAGCACCTTTAAACAGCATCACGGTAGCAAAGAGAAGACTGTTCAATTAATAACCATCTTTAAACAGCAGCACGGTGGTAAACCAGAAGACTGTTCAATTAAAAACCATCTTTAAACAGCACTACGGTGGTAATGAGAGTTCAATTAATAACCACCTTTAAACAGCATCACGGTGGTAAACGGAAGAATGTTCAATTAATAAGCATCTCTAAACAGCATCACGGTAGAAAACGAGAAGACTGTTCAATCAATAACCATCTTTAAACAGCAGCACGGTGGTAAACGAGAAGACTGTTCAATTAATAACCAGCTTTAAGTGTTCTCACTTTCCACTGTGCTGCTGCTTAAAGATGGTTATTAATTGAACAGCCTTCTCACTTTCCACCGTGTTGCTGTTTAGAGATGGTTATTAATTGAACAGTCCTCTTACTTTCCACTGCGCTGCTGTTTAAAGATGGTTACTAATTGAACAGTCTTTTCGTTTACCACCGTGCTGCCGTTTCAAGATGGTTATTAAAGGGGCAACGTCACCGATTTTTGACCTAAAATACCGTTTATTCAAAAACTGAACTACAAAGTTAAAAATAAACGTTGTAAATGGATTAAGTTATGATATACGAGTCATATTAAACAACTTTGAACTTCCACGAAACATGTAATATGACATTTTCATAAAAAATGACTAAAATTGACCTAAAAACCTGGCGTAATCTTGTCCATCCAGACTTCTGTACATGTTTTTTGTGTCTGTTATTGCTTTATGTTGTGCTTACACTATTTTTTTTTCAGTTTTGGGCAAAATTTGCGAGGGTTGGAATTGCCCAAAAATCGGTGACATTGCCCCTTTAATTGAACAGTCTTTTCGTTTACCACCGTATTCCTGTTTAAATATGTTATTAATTAACTAAGCAGTCTTTACGTTGACCACCGTGCTGCTGTTTAAAGATGCTTACTAATTGAACAGTCTTCTTACTTCCCACCGTGCTGCTGTTTTAAGATGATTATTAATTGAACAGTCTTCTCGTTTACCACCGTGCTGCTGTTGAAAGATGGTTATTAATTGAACAGTCTATTAGTTTACCACCGTACTGCTGTTCAAAAATGGTTATTAATTGAACAGTTTCTTCGTTTACCACCGTGCAGCCGTTTAAAAAAATACAAAACAATGGACACTCCGAAAACGGTTAACATTTTGGTCATGATGACTGCAAGCTAGTCTAAACGTCGAATCAAAATGTTAACCGTTTTCGGAGTGTCCATTTTTTATATTTTTTTAAATTACTCAGTGGTAACTGTAACTTTTCTGCCGTTTAAAGATAGTTATTTGTTGAACAGTCTTTTCGTTTGCCACCGTGTTGCTGTTTATTAATTAAAAAGTCTTCTTACCTTCCACCGTGCTGCCGTTTAAAGATGGTTATTAATTGAACAGTCTTCTCATTTACATCCGTGCTGAAGCTCTCAAGAAAAATAAGCACGGCGCCACGGCCAACATCCGGATTTGTGTTCCGCATACTGAAATGAACACATTTTAAGTAAAGTCAATTATATACTGTAATTCGCTAGGCAAAACACCACAAATGTTTCTTTATACCTTTTGCTTCTTTTAGGCGACATTTTGATATCACTGCTGAAAATTGATACCACAATATTACATTCATACAATCATTATTAAAACGTGCCAATTGAATTGGAGTTTTTCCCTGTTTATCCATTATATCAAGCTTGCCGCCATTGTCCAGCAACAGGCGTAAACTGCTCGCTTGGCCACATCTTGCTGCCAGGTGAACTGGAGTTTGACCAAGTTCATCAGGAAAATTTGGGTTTCCATCTGGCCACGACAGCATTACCTTTAAACATCTAAACATGCGTAAACGAATATTTTCATGGAGAAAGGATATAAATTCATCTCGTCTGAGTACGACAAAATCACAAATATACTAGAAAATACATGCATGCAGAAACCCTCGCCTTGCTGACAAAACCATTGTATTTTCCGAACATGAAGTATCTAAAGTAGTTGTCATGGTAACACGATAATTTTTAAGAACATTCTTACAAATGAAAATCGCCTAAAAATATCACTTTTAATTACAAAATTATAAATTTCCCAACATATATATGTTAGGTATGTAATTATACGTAATACAAGCTTCAATTTAAGGTAAAATTCAACCACAAACAATTCACAAAACGTTCCAAAGTGTTCTTTATAAAACTAAACTGCCTTTAGCAACCTTTAGCTATTAAATGGCTTTATCAATAAACTTTGAGTTTGCAATAAAATTATTTCAAAGTCTCGCTTGCAAATAACTTTGCTTATTTTTTATTTAAAAAATTCAATATAATAAAAAAGGGAATTAATATTAAAGATACATTGAAATTATATGCTGTCTTGTTTAGCTGTTTCATATACGCAAAAGCCGTCGGGTTTTAAAGCCATTATAAAATCAATATTTAAAACAAACTTACCTTCGTTAACGTCGGCTCTCTTCTTTTAGCCGATTCTTTCGCCTTTTCTTTCTTGAAATTTATAAAATCTTGCAGAAATACGAGCAAAAATGAAATATATTTGCAAGAAATTTATCAATCATCAAATCAAGAAATGTTTGCTATTTCGCTGTCGTCATGCAGTCGTTATAATGCAAACTTTAAATTGGATCAATCAGTGTCCGTTATTCATCAGTCCGCCATATTTTTGAGATCAGTGAGGATGACCACCCATCGTTGGTGACCGACGCCCGCGCTCATTGATGAACTTTAGACTTCGCTAATGCTTTCGTTTCCCCGGGTGTAAATAGCCGGGGGGAATTAGTACCCTCGCACGGCGCTTCGCGCCGTCGGCTCGGGGATAAATCACAAATATATATATATATATATATATATATATATATATATTTATATATATATTTATATATATTTATATATATATATATATATATATATATATATATATATATATATATATATATATATATATATATATATATATATATATATATATATATATATATATATATATATATATATATATATATATATATATATATGGGCATGAATTTTAGCTGTCATCGAAAGTAGAGTTTATAAAGAGAAGTGTCTTGAAACACGTTACAAAAATTTCAATTTATAAAAGAATACGAAAAATATCATGATACCATACATGATACCACACACGATTGTACACCTTCATTCCAGGACCTTCAAGGAGTTTTTTTCTCTCGTACCAGAAATTTTTCAGGGGTACAGTAATTGGAATACTATATATGACGAAAGCAATTTCGCCCAATAAGTTCAGTTTTCAAAATATTTCAAAATTGGATATGTTGTTTGCGCAAAAACTTTTTGTAATAAATGGTATATTAGGCTAAAACAGAACACTTAACTCTCTAAGACTATGGATCCCTGAGGCGTTTACACTACACAGTCCGACCCAGGGTAAATAATTTTGACCCTCTTAGTGATATTATGCGATATTTTGACAGTAGTTGGTTTGGCAGTAGGCTGTTGCGGTATTTGAAAAAAAGAAAGAAAACCGATAGCGGAAAAAATCCCCAATAATACCGATATTTTTCGCGATTGTATTTTGATTAATCTTACACGAAATTTCCTTAATTTTATGGAAAAGATTCTGTTTTCAAATGAAGCCAAAAAGCCGCGATATAACAAGAAAAATGTCCGCTTTGGGAATTGAAAATGCGTAGTTTGCTTTGATTATCCGCGCACTCAGAATGAATCATGTACGGCAATATTCTTGGCCGGGAAATTTGTTTCAAAACGTGTTATTCAACTGCGAATTCGAAATAAAGATTGTGACAGTCATATCTCACCAGATAAATAATGTCCAATGAGTTTAGTTTTTGTTCTTTAAACATTTGTAATCCAGAGTTGTTTACGTTCTAAAAGGTCACTTCCAAATCTGGACCGGACAAGCGCAATGACAACCAGTATATTAGACCTTAGATAGATAGATAGATAGATAGATAGATAGATAGATAGATAGATAGATAGATAGATAGATAGATAGATAGATAGATAGATAGATAGATAGATAGTTTATTACAATAAAACATCGCAGCCAAAGGCTGAATTAAGTTAAATGTTACAGTACAATATTAATACTAACTATTGATTTATAACTATAAGAATTAATAATAAAACTATTTACAACTAAAACAACTTATATACCAACACAGGATAATCCAAATTAAGAACTACGAGTTCAATGCGTTATACGTAATAAAACTGTTTCGATACCGTTCTGTCTTAAATGTCACATTAAACCTACGCTTGTTTCTCAGAGTGGTGTCAAAGTTATTACACGGGGGGAGTAATTTATGTAATATATGATCCTTATTAGACACTATGTCCCGAAACAGACTTTCTGTAAGTTTTGTCTTCTGGCATAGAGAGGTTGCAGTCCTGCGATAGACAGAGCCTCACTGTAGGACGTCCATGGGATGATAATTCGCAACGCTCTTTTCTGAATTGACTCTAAGTCATTGGATAGATAGTTGGTTAAGCTGTTGTGAAACGCCGGGCACGCATATTCTGTGATCGGTCTGATACAGGTAATATAGAACTGGAGCAGCTCTTTGGTTCCCACATTAGATCTTTTTAATTGGGCTAAACAACAGTGTCTTTTTTCGAGCCTTTTTCACAATCTGCAGAACATGTTAATTCCATTTCAAATCATCAGAAAGAGTCAGACCCAATATCTTAGTACTTTGCACAACTTCCAAAGGAGTATTATGTATTTTGATTGGCCCAAACTGGTTGATTAACTTACTAAACCCTATCTGCAATACCTTGCATTTTCTCTCGTTCATTTGGAATTTATTGGCTTCTGACTGATTAATTAAATCGTCTACATCGTTCTGGATAGTGCTCGAGCCTCCCTCTAAAATGGTCTCAGCCATGGACGTGTCATCAACGTATCTCCACAATTTCGAGGTGGGAATATCCAGGTCATTGACCATAACAACAAACAACCATGGACGCAACTTAGTTCCTTGGGGTACTCCAGCTGGTACCAACTCTCACTCTGAATAACAGTCTGTACTTAACTTTACTCGCTGTTTCCTGCATGTTAAGAAGTCGGTGATCCACTCCAACGTCCATTGAGGGATATCATATATTGCTAATTTGTTAAGGAGTAACCTGTGGTCAATCAGGTCAAATGCCTTTTTGTAGTCGAATAAAATAACTCTGGTTGTTGCGCCATTGCCGTCTGTTGAGGCATTTAAGAAGTGCAGCATACTGCTTGAGTGGTACTTGATCTAGGCACTGTGCCGTATTGATTAGGATCTATTTTCCTCAGGACCGCTGGTTTGACAAAGAGGTTGACAACATAATCTTCTGCGATCTTCGACAAGATTTTTGTCAAGGAAATTGGGCGTAGATCTTTATTAACCTCTCGCACCGGTTTTGCTTTGGGTATTGGAATAATATTTGCGAATTTCCATGAGGACGGAAGTCGACCTTCATTGTAAGAGGTGTTAATTATGTCAGCCACAGTGGTAGCGTTTTCTTTAAGTATCCAGTTTGGAATTCCGCCTGGTCCACCAGCTTTACTTTGATTCAGTGCGCTCAGTTTTTTAAAGACGGAAAATTCCGAAACACAAAAACCCTCTGACCTCCCATCCGCATCGGCTTGCCGGTTGCTAGGCAACAATGGATTGAAATCTGACATAGGCCTATGGAACGCTTGATTGATTTCATTGGCCAGTTCGTCTAGGCTGGGGGAGCTTGAGTCTGAGTTATGTTCAATATTACTCAACATGGCGACAGTATCTTCACGCCTACTGACTTGTTCGGACATACCACACAATCTCTTAATTTCTTTCCACCAAATTGCAGGGACATAGCTTCTTAGTTGTTTAACCTTTGCATTATAGTATTTAGCGCGTATCCTTTTTCTTTCACGATTTACTTGATTTCTTAAACTACGGAATGTTATAAGGTCTCCTTGAGTAAAGGCTTTCTGACGACTATATGGATTAGCTTTTTTAGGACATCCAAGGTGGTTCGTTCGTTACAACGATCTTTTTCTTAATTGGTGCGATTGCGTCTAAACCAGTATTGATGATCAGTTCTAGAGTATTAACTTTGTCGTTACACGAGATTTGGTTGTTAACTAGCTCTTCAACATTCACTTCTTCATAGTACTGCCTCAATGCTAGACGTTTCGTGTGTCTCAGATCTCTAGATTTTGTGTGAAAACTCACTTTTGAGATGTGCGAACGAACCCGGGGTTGTACCATTATAGTATCGTGATCCGACAGCCCAAACGGTGGAAGTTTCCTTGGATTATCGTACAACAAGTCTAGGTTCGTCAATACTAAATCAAGAATGTTTCCCCCGCGGATGGGAAAATTTATTATATTTGTTTCAGGTTAAATGCATTTTTAATTCTTGATACTTTCAACTTATTAAAATCTCCCAACAAGATGGTACCACTGTTTGGAAATTGAGACTCGATACTTGTTAGGCTTTCATACAGGTAATGTATTATTGATGGGTCATCTGCACTTGGTGGATGGTACACAATACCCACTATGACATTCGTTATACCTCTGGGAAGCCGCGAAGGTCTGAAAAATGGCATCGAACAGATTTTCCAAAACTTGGTACTTTATTGTTTTCCGCACGTAGGCACAAATTCCGCCATGCTGCCCAACGCATCTGTCTCTTCTAATTAAATTGTACCCAGCAGCGGCAACTATTTGATCAGGAATATGTTCTTGAAGCCAAGTTTCCACAAAGCAACCAAGATCAACATTTGAATTGCCTAATACTTCTCGGATTTCGTCTATTTTTGGAGCCATAGACATAACATTCCACAATAACACTGAGGGCACGAACACGGTTGGCGATCCCTGGACTTCATTCTGGATTGTGGTTGGAATCGTGATTAACGTGCGAGTATTAATGTGGGGGGGGGGGGGGGGGGTGCTCGCGGTTTTAGAAAATAATTGTTGTCGATGAGTAATTCTTGTCGGAATCTGCATTTTTATCGTTTCGTAGTGCGATGAACAAGCTTCAGGTAATTGATCCAGTCCTGCTTGTGACAGCGACTGCGTGTTAAACGTGTCCGTTTTTTCCAATTGAGCTTTAAAAAATAATTATCATTCTTATACGATTCCGGTAAGCTGATATTATTTGGCCCCTGAACTGGTTGCGATTTAGGTTTTCCTTCTATGAGAGGCAACCTCTCCTTCCAATCTACTTGGGAGACCTTTATGCTTAGTATTTTTTGACATAGGTTGTATTGGAGTCTTGATGGCATTCGACGTATTCTAGCGTCTGTTGTCTTCATGGTGACATGAGATTTACCATTATTCAGACTAATATCAGAGTTATTCTCGTCTCTTGTACCCGTAGTCTCGTCAATAAGTATTGTTTTAGACGACATGCTCCGTTGGTTTTCTATTGTGTCATTACATTGGTACGTATCTTGCGTATCTAATGAGTATTTTTGTTGTTTCAGTGAGTCTCTCTCACTTTCGGCCTCTAATAATTTAGTTCTAAGTTCCTTAATAATATTATCACGATCCATAATTACTTTGTTCTTCTCATAAATGATTTTAAACAGCTCATTTACCGTGGACTCAGTTCTGCGATCATGAGTAAGACCACCACCATCACCGGGAAGCAAAATTTCACTGATTGACTCTATAATGCCATTTGTAGAATCAGTAACATTGTCAATAGAACTAATTTGTTTCTGCAAATCTTCAATGTCTAGCTTGACGTTTTTAATGTCATTTCCACACGGATTACAATCACAGGTATGATGACGAGATACATATAACTCTGGCTCAATTACAGCTTTAGTATCTGCAACGATTTCACACAGCTTTTCACAAGGTTCGGCAACTGGATCAGCCGTTTGAGTCGAAAACTTTGCATTCGAATTAGGGCTGTCAATGTTTGGTTCTACTAACATTCTAACTACAAAATTTTTAAGTACTATGCCGTCCGTTCCTTGGAATGACAGTGAATTCTGTTTCCCGGGGTACCAAGTTATGCTTAAATTAGCGTTTGTATACTGTTAAACTGCTTAGATTTACCGCCAGGTGATCTCCACCTACCGTTAAGGCGAACGATATTTTCGATAAAATACTTGAGTGAATCAAGGTCCTGCGTCCACTTTATTCGATTTCCTTCATATATCAAGTGAGCTTTATCCTTAAGTGATTTTATCGTATTCGTATCCACACATGCACTTTACAAGAAAATTGAGATTATCTAAGGAGCTCTCCGAAACATGACCAGCCGCCATTTTCACAATGAGTAAGACTTGCAATGACAACGCAAACAAACACGTTTAGCTCTCTCTCTAACCCTAACTACAGATTTTCCCGCAAAGTTAGCGCATTGATCGTCTTTGTCCTTCTGAAATAACTCCAATCAATCTTGAAAAAGCTTGATATGACGATAATACCGAAAAATATCTATGCTCCCATATATCGAAAATTTGAATATTTCAATGCGCACGATTTCTGAAAACACTATACGGGACTACGTTGCCACTCACAACGTAGCTACAAGATTACCCGAACTGCACGCATGCATTAAAATTCAGCTACATTTATGTTTTAGTTACTGACAGACACGTCAAAGAATTGTTGCCTTATTTACAACTCAAACACGATGGAAGGATCTGGCAAAATCGACTAAGACAAAGCGTTTTTATCCTGAAGTTAGAAGTTGTCGCAAAATGTTCTGAAGCAGCTTCGCCATCTAACAGGCAAACGTTTACAATATCGATCAAATAAAGTAACAATAAGTTTCCAATCGATGCTCATAAAATGTTGTTAATAGCATAAATACCTTGAATATCCCATGAATGCGGCACAGTGCATTGGTGTCAAACCGATCTGAAGAGGTGGATTACCAAATTTAACCTTATGTGAAGCCCCTGTAGCATCTGCGTCTTCAGTGTGGATGAATTGGCCAACATCTTGAAATCTCCCACAACATGCAGCCTGATGAAGATCATACTTGTGAATCCGCTTTTGTTTGAGATGATGGATATAACCAACTTTACTTAAGAATGACTCCTTGCATAAAGCGCACCAAAAAGCTTCGTCTCGTTCTTTATGCGAAAAGCTTTTTCTTAAATGTTTAATGAGAGCATAAGAATTTGGAAACGCAAGTTTAGGACAATACGGACATTCATATTCACTGCAGCAACGAGTGCAAGGGAGATGAGGATCTGGAAAAGACATTTTCTAGCTCCAGTCAGCATGCAAGAATCCTACACCTAAAAACAATAGAGAAGTGTACCACAGTAAATTAACATGTTACATTTTAATTACACTTTCAGAATATTTTCATGAGGTGAAAGATGGTGATAGCAACGAGGCGATAGCAGAGTTGAATGGAACATTGGAACCAATGTCCTGTTTATGCATGATATATACTTTAGTAAATTTTTGTTCCACTGCTTAGCTTAAATTTCTACACGGCCTTATAAAAAGCAACCATTTTAATTATTTGAAACTTTATCAGAAAACTATATATATGTTTAGTAGAAATTAATAGGTTTTTTGAGCTACCGTGTATAAAGAATTTTAAATAATAATAATTCCATCTTTCACCGAATGAAAATATTTTTACCATTGCACGATCGAATAAAAACATTCATTATTTGTTTGATATAATACCAAAATAGACTAATATTAAAAGGTTTACAACTACTGTAAGCTCCCGCCATTTTGACGAGTCGTATTTGCGTTAAATCCCATTTACTGAGTTTCGAATATCGGGTTAAAACAAACTGCGATCACAGTACGAGAAGCATTTTGACGGATGTGATTTATCGAAAACACAAAGAGTGCAATGGAATAAAATGTATAGTACAATTGCGCTCGCAAAGGGTGCAATGGAACGTATTCCATTGCCCTCTTGGGAAATGGAATTTTCTATTCAATATCACGTGACCATAAACAGCCAATTAACCATCAGAATTCAATAAGAATTATACAGCTTAAGTCGTATATGAGCTGAAAGCCGACGAGGCGCGTAAATATTACCGAAATCAGTAGAGTGTCTTTTCCGGAAGTTGAAAAGACAGTCGAAAGCCAGTAGAAACGTTCATGTTTTATGACGTCACGGTGAAGGAATGCAGCGTGGAACTTGTAAGTTATTTTACTTATTAGTAAACTTTATTTAGTTTGACAAATTGCCAATGGCTCGCCAAACACAAAACAAGCTTTTGAGCAAAGGGAGAAGTTCTAGGGTGAGGCGGTAAAACCGATGTTTTTTGAAAACCGAATTACTCGATGTTACTTTTGGAGAAAAACCGAAAAAACCGGAGGAAAACCGAAATCGAACCATACTTATACGGGTCTGTTGCAAATGAATCAACTTTGGCATTTACACACGAAAACTAAAGAGATTTTGTTTAAAATTTGATAACATCTTCAAAATACCTTACGTTTAATATCATTCTACAATTTCGCGCGAGCTTGAGGTCTTGAACGGATAAGCGGATCAAACGATGGTGAATTTTGATTCGCTGGTAATAAAGGCGGACGTCTGCGAAGACAGGTTTAAGATATTCATATAGCGTGTTGTGTCTTTTTTAAACCGTAGTTTCGATTTTCGAACATATTTTTAAAAAAAAAACCCGGTTCACTCGGTTTTTTCGGGGTTTTTTGGTCGGTTTTCGGTTTTTTGTAGAAACCGCCTCACACTAGGGAGAATCTTTATTCGTGGGAAGGCACTTAAGTAAAGTTACTAATAAGTAAAATAACTTACAAGTTCCACACTGCATTCCTTCACCGTGACGTCATAAAACATGAACGTTTCTACTGGCTTTCGACTATCTTTTCAACTTCCGGAAAAGACACTCTACTGATTTCGGTAATATGGGGGGGGGGCGGTGGT